AAAAAAAAGCCAAGATTGTTACTGGAGGCTTGCAGCTTTAGAGAATCAAGAAAATACAGAACTCCCATGCATGAGGGGATGAGGGACCATTTGGGGAGGGCTGAAGTTTTGGTTGAACCTCTCTCTCTCACCGAACGCTGCTTTGGAGAAGCTAGCTAGCAAAAGAAAAACTGTTTTTTGGGCTGAAGGACAACAAATTTAGATTCCAATTCCTGGTATTCACCAAACATTGCTTAACAGTTGTCCTTTCACCCGGGAAAAGCCCTCCCAAATGACACTAACTAATTAGGAGGCCCAAATACCTTGTATGAGAAGGTTATGAAAACAACGAGGATGATCTGCACTCTGCAGTAGTATTTGATCAGTTCAATTAGTCCTCGATTGCTTGTTGCTTCACCTCTATCTATTTCATCTTTGGGAAACCTTTTCGAAAGATCAGTTCATGGTGGCCTGAATCTCTCCATTTGGCATTTGACATCTACCATACCGCGACGAATATGGGTTCTATCACGAATAATTAGACCTGGCAAAAAATTGACCCAATCTGTGAATCTGACCCAACTCATCCCGAAAAAATAGGGTTAGGTTCTCATATTTTGCTACCTGAATGTGAAAATGACCTGACCCGACCCAACCCGAAAAATTGGGTTGGGTTGGGTTGGGTTGGGTTGGGTTGGGTCATGGGTCAACTTGCTGACCCGATTGTCAAGTCTAATTAGGATTATTTATGCATTGTTAGAAGTTTCCACTCTTTAATTTTTTCTATTTAGTCTCTACTTTTTATTGTTTACTCTTTAAATTGTTAAATGTTCAAGTTTTTTATTTTATATTTGGAATTTTAAGGTTAATTCTTTTAATTTTGACATTTTTATGTATTTTTTCTTTAATTTTTTTTAAATTTCAAATATTTTTTGGAATGACCCGAATTGACACATGAGTCAACCCTAACCCGAATATTTAGGATTAGGGTCTAGCATTTAACAACCCAACCCAAAATAAACCTAAAGTACCTTGACCCAACCCGAACCCGACCCACCCAACCCAATTGCAAGGTCTACCAATAACCAACGATTCCTCCTTTGAAAAGCATCTTGACATTTGACATCTACGCCATCTACTACAGTACCACACTCATCTTTGAAAAGTACGTATGCGCATTTATTCATATACTTACAAAGTTTACTTGGCATTAACGTGGAAAAATCAAGATGAACTTAGCTAATCTTATCTTGGCAATTGAGACCAGATATTTTTGAATTCTAAAAGGAAGACCTCATTTTGATTGTATGAGTGGGGCACGGCACGATAGACAGCGACATGAAAAAATAAATAAAATAAACAAAGAAGGTAACTTGGCTTTTCTGCAAACCCAGTTGTTGATAACTTGATACCACTACATGTATATATAAGTATATTATGTTTGTTGTGCCCCCGAGTCTAAGAAACGCTTAAAAGACCAAAATATCCACTACTATCATATCTAAATTTGTTATAATGATGAGGTTCGCTAAGGGTGCTTTTGGTCATCTGATGTCTAAAAGTAATGATGCTATATAACTTATAAAATACAAGTTGATAAATAGGAACTTGACCAACCTTAGTTTTTCCTTTTTTTTTTTTTTAATTGTGAGATGATATTCTCTATATCATATTTTTATTTGGTTTTTCTATTTAATACATACATCACTTCAAGGATTTAAATATGATACCATAAATTCGATATTGAATTAGGGTGATACAAGATACGTTACTAATAGAAACACATCTTGTATGTGCGAATTGGACCGATACAAGTGCATACCACATTGTATTGACTGACACACACCAATACCAACCGATATGCACCATCTTCGATTAAAAAAAATGTAAACACTACTAATAGCGTGATTTGAACCTAGAACACCGCATACATGGCATTGAAAGCCTTAAATTCTCCATCAAACCACTTGGCCATGCCATGTGTTGTGATATTTAATGAAATAACATATTTTTTTTATTAATGTCTATCCAAATAAATAATCAATATTTATGTTTAACAATCTCAATTAAAAATTAAAATAAATAATATTTAAAATTAGCATTTTATAAACAAATAGAATAAATAATTTATCAATTCTATATTTACATCAAAAGGAGTACAAAAAAATATATTTACATCAAAAAATGATTTTAATCTTAAGAAATTTATACAAATAAAATATTAATAGTTGAATAATCACCTTACTACTTAAAATTTATAAATTTGCACATGATATATATCTTGCAAATTTTATATATTTTTATAAATATTAATTAATATTTTAATTTACATTAAATGACAATATATTTATTATTTACGAAAAATAAAAATTTGTTTGCAAAATATTCAAGAATATAATATTAAATTGAATTTATTGAATCCACTAATTTACATTTATATGAAAATTTGATTTTTAATTTCAAAAAAATTGTACAAATAAAAATATTAATAATGAAATAATGATTTTAATAATTAAAAATTATGAATTTGCATATGATATATATTTTATAAATTTTAACCAATTTTATATATTTTAAGTTAAAATTATATATTTTATAAATTATTAAATGATGATTTAATTTATATTTGAGAATTTAATATTTGGTTAACTTTTTCTTGTTAATGTTAAAATGTAAAAATAATAAAATATAAAATAATTGATATAATAATTAGAATAAATATAATAAGTCCATCTTTGACTATTAATTAATGCATTGTATGATATCTATGCATTATACTATTAATTATAATATATTTTTATGTACACTATTAAATATATATTTTTTATATATTTATACATTATTTATGGCTATTTGACCATAAATTTAACGTTATTAATATATTTATAAAGTTTTTATGTATTTCTTTAATATATCTTATTTTTAATCTGTATTCATACGTTTTCAAAACATATATTTATCTGAATTATCTAATATAATACTCAATACCAATACTTTAATTCTTACATTAACTGTTCTCCCATTATTTCAATGATTTGAAAGAAAAAGGAGGATCATAAGAAAATTAGTCCAGCGTTTAGAAAAGGACACAAATAATGTAACGTTACGTTTTCTGGATAGTCGTCATACGCCACCATAAAAAATCTCTTTTTTTTTAAAAAAAAAAACAAATCAACTAATTTTTTTTCACCATAAACAAATCAACAAACAAATAAGTATTTCATGGAATAATATTGAAGTGGGGGCTTATACGTTATACACTTTACACTTATATCCGACGTGAAATCCGGTGTAGCCTTTGGGCTAAAACCTAGTCATGACCTTTCGATGTATTCTGGGCCCAAATTAATTTCATCATCAATTCATCATGGGGACATGGGCATGGGCCATCGCTAGGGATGATGGTCTTGTTTGAATTGTCCGTTAAAGAACGGAACGATCAGGATCGTTTGTCAATAGGCACCTCCCATCTTTAGAACCGTAGATGTTGGGCTATAATTACCTTGAAGAAACTATTTTTTGTTATTTTAATTTTCGAGAGAAGCTCGGCTGTTTTGAATTAAAAATAATATTAATTGCAATTACTCTTTTACCCAACATCTATGCTAGCGTGTCATGTATATGAAACTTAAAACACTAAGACAGCCTACGCTGTTTTTTCCCACGCAGGCCGCAGCCAATCTTTTTCCAATGTTCACCGTTTCACGTTGCTTTCTACTTTTCCACGCTTTTTTCGTCCATAGGAATCTTTTCCAAGCCACGTCATCATCTACGTCATCCGTATAATTATACGTACAGTAATACAACCTCCATCGCCACTGAGTAGTCAAGAGCATCAATCATCGAATCCGCATCCCGTTTGTCTCAATAAATTCCCACGTTAGCCGCTCTTCTCCCTTATCTTCTGATCCCGCTCGCTCCGGCCAAAGATCTGGGAGGAGAGAGAGTGAGAGAGAGATCAGATACAGATGGCTCGCTTCACTTTTGTCTCGTTCGCCCTCTTTTTCTTGGCCTGCAGTGCCATCAGCACACACGCCGGCTCCAGCTTCGACGATAACAACCCCATCCGATTGGTATCTGACGGCCTTCATGATCTCGAATCCTCCATCCTCCATATTCTCGGCGACACGCGTCACGCCCTCTCCTTCGCACGTTTTGCTCGAAGGTTTGCTCCTCATCTTTAGAAAAAAAAACTCTCCTGTATCATGTATCCTGATTTGGGTCGTCGCTTCCATCCCTAATCTGTTGGCGAAGTGTTCGCCCGTTATATACATAAAATAATTTCAGACTTGATCGCTGAAAAATCGGGGTTGTGGATTCCAGGTACGGGAGACGGTACGAGACTATGGAAGAGATGAAACTCCGATTTGAGATTTTTGTGGAGAACTTGAAGCTGATCAGATCCTCCAACAGAAAGGGCCTTCCTTACACTCTAGCTATCAACGGTAAGTGCTCTTTCTTCCTTTTTTTCCCTCGTTAATTCTTTCTAGTTTTCCGTGGTCAATACTCAATACATTTGTCGAACTGCATCCAAGGAGAGAAGAGGGAACATCACAGGTTTCAGATCGTAGCCTGTGATGCTCTGGAGTTTCACGGTAGCTAGGAATCATCGGGATCAGAGACTGCCCTTACTGTCTTTGGCTCTCCGCTGCTGTCTTGTACCTTGCGCTGTCAACCGAAAGTATTCTTCTCCTGTTCGATATAACTTTATGACGTGGTTTTAATATCCACTGCTAAAAGTAGCAAGTGCTACTTACTACTTTTTAAAAGGAGCAAAAGTGTCAACCGTAGATTTTCATTCTCATGAGTCCAACATTTTTAGATGGATGGCTTGATACTTTGATGTAACAGAATACAGATGAATTCGTGTATTCACTGAATTGGACAATTCTTGGTGGGTGTTGTATTGCTGGCCATTCAGGTTGAGGCTGGTCAAATCATATGCAAATATTGGGATCTGCTTCTTACACACCTCACAGTGCTCTGAGGTTATTGTGAGGCGCGCTCTGTAAGAAGCAGACCCCAGTAAGACACTGACAAGTCAGTTTTGAAATAAAAATTTAGAATATTTAAATATTTTTTATTTTGACAAAGACACGTGGTTTGTCTTATTGGGTCACAAGAGCAGATATTTTGGGATTCCGGAATATTGACTCCGAACCGTCCAATCTGGTCTTTCGTGGACCATTATCATTCACTTGCATTCATTTCATCCGGAGGATCGATCTCCCCATTTGATGATGTGTTAACATCTCGAATGTCGAAGGGGATGATCAGACACCCGGAATAACAATCGGCACCATCAATGGTGTCATATCTTATACTAAGTGGGGCTCGCCGTCCATCCGACGTCGTTCGTTCTGGAATCTATTTGATCTTCTCTTCTGTTTTCATTGGTAGATTCCTTTTCTTCTATTGAGTCCATTTTAATTCCCCACTTGAATCTCTGTGTCCACATGATATCTTTAGATATTATGCTAAAAAAATAATTGATTTGGTAACTTTCTTTCTTTTTAAATTAAGCTAGTAAATCCAAATATTATGTTAAATTTGACAGAGTTTGCTGATTGGAGCTGGGAGGAATTCCGCGCTCAGAGATTGGGAGCTGCTCAAAACTGTTCTGCCACTACAAAGGGCAGCCACAAGCTGACTGATGATCTGCTCCCTGAAACAGTACAGCATTTTTTTGGTTATGCATTTCCATTTCTTGTCTCTGAAACTTGTGCTCGTTTCTTGTCTTTCTCTTGTGATTACTGATTAGTTCTCTGGAATCATTGGTTGCGCTGGTAAATGCAATATTGCTTTAGATTATATCTCAATCATAGATATAATTACGTTTTCTATTGTTGAATATCTGGTGCCCTGTACAGAAAGATTGGAGGGAAGATGGCATAGTCAGCCCAGTAAAAAATCAAGGTCATTGTGGATCTTGCTGGACATTCAGGTGAAATAGTGCTTTACATCACAACATGAGGAAGATCTTATTTATTTGTTTATTTATTTAAATATAATTATGGAGAATTATTTCATGATAAGTCGAAATATCAAATATCTAATTGCAGTACCACCGGAGCTCTGGAAGCGGCATACACCCAGGCGTTTGGGAAGAGCATCTCTCTGTCAGAACAGCAGCTTGTGGACTGTGCCAGAGCATTCAATAACTTCGGGTGCAACGGCGGGTTGCCTTCGCAAGCCTTTGAGTACATCAAATACAATGGCGGTCTGGACACCGAGGAAGCCTACCCTTACACCGGAAAAGATGGTGTCTGCAAATTTTCATCGGAGAACGTTGGTGTCCAAGTTCTCGAGTCCGTCAATATCACACTGGTATGTAAGCTCTCTTACCATGAAATGATCTTATTCATGTTCATCAATTGTACTTGCACCGTTGCGCTCTTTGGGACACGGAAAGGAGAATTGTGTTTTGGAGAGACACGATTCCTACTTGCTGATTTCGAATTTTCGATCACGTGTATGTATGTAGGGTGCTGAAGATGAACTGAAGCATGCTGTTGCAATTGTTCGGCCGGTGAGTGTCGCGTTCGAGGTGGTGAGAGGGTTCCGCTTCTACAAGAAAGGAGTTTACACCAGCGAAACTTGTGGCAGCACTCCCATGGTGAGTGGTTCTCCTTTAAGAAAAAGAAAAGAGACTTGAAGCAAGTGAATGATTGATTTATCTGATAAAGCATTGCTTCTATTGAATTTAAGTATAGAATGCATAGATAACTATATATCCTTACAAGATTTGGAGTGTCGTTGGCAGGATGTTAACCATGCCGTCTTGGCCGTGGGATACGGAACAGAAAATGGTGTTCCCTATTGGCTTATCAAGAACTCATGGGGAGAAAGCTGGGGCGACAATGGCTACTTCAAGATGGAGCTGGGGAAGAACATGTGTGGTAAGCCAGCTTCTTTGGTAAACCCTTTCTATGTCTTTCCCTTGTCATAGCTCACTCAAGCCTATCGCACTTAAAGCTCAGTTTGGAAGGAGTACAGAGTGCAAAACCTTGTATTTATACTGTACACCTTCCGAACTGAGCCTAAAGGTTAAGCTACATCCCCACAAAAATTTGGGTGGTTGGCTGTTGGTTTACTTCAAATCTCCTATTTCCTATTCCTATATAGGCCATGGTGATGCTAAAGGTTGATAATTTATGACATGATTGCAGGTATTGCCACGTGTGCATCCTACCCAATCGTTGCATAGAGTGCTATCCATGAAATGAAGTTGCTTATCTCCGTTGATGTAAGATGAAATAGCATGTGTATTGATGGGATGATGATGTTGGAATGCAACAAATATCTTGTGTAGTATTCTGATGAAGATATCTTGTATTAATTATGGTCGAGTTGGCTGAGCCTTCGACATTGTTAGACCGGTCCGGTCATGATGGCTTCAACATTGTTCATATATGTATCTAATTAGTTACAAATATAGTTGCGTAATGTGTATGGATATTATTATGAGAAACAACGTTTATTGCACAATGAGAAACAAAATCAGACACATTGGGGATCACCCCCCCCCCCTCCCACCCACTAAATGATGCGACTGATATTTCGTATATGACTGTAATCGGTCTTGCTTGAAATTGATACAAGGCCCATGGTGTGTACAACTACGACTGTTGTAGTAACAGGCTAGTGCTACAAGAGCCCAGATTTCCTACTCACTCTCTACTCGCCTTGAATTGGAATTACATATCTCTATTATGTGTAGCAAAAGTGAGTAGGAAATTCCAAATGGTGCTACAAACTTCGATTCCAGTCTATTGTGCCTAATATTAAGGCCCATTTTAATGGGCTTGGCACAAACCAGGCCTTTGTTTACCCATGTGCAATAATCAAGACCACCTTAAAAGCACATTGACCTGCCACAACGTCCAAACCCAGCCCATTATCAATTGGAGCTTCTTTGGTACTTAGGTTGATGACTTTGGGCTGGCACTACCTATGCCCTTAGCCCATTCTTGTGTCTCGAAGGGCAAGGCCAAGCCCCTGGACATATCTGCCAAGGGGGCATTTTTTTTTTTTTTTTGGATTTTGAGGGGGGAAAGTTGGTCAATGAAATATTAGTTCCTGTTGACCAAGAATACCATGTTCATTTTTCAGATTAATGTGGGGATCAGGGAAAGTTTATTTTCCTGGGTATCACTTACCCACGTTGGTAAATAACTTACCCAAATAAGTAATACCTATCTCCTAGGTGGGTAAATAACTTTCCCCACCTAAGAGGAAAGTTGCTAACACTTGAATGGGACAACAATGCCCCTTTTAATAATGGATTTTTATGACTAAAATGACCATTACCTTATTTACTTGAGAAATAAAAGAAATTGGGTAAATGCACTTACCTGGGTAAGTGTTTCCCACGAAAAACTTACCCAGGTAATTACATTTACCCGGGTAAGTAACTTACCGAAAAACGAATGGGGCCCAAATTCCAATAGTGTAGATCAAGAATCAAGATAAGCTAACCCTGGGTTAGGCTGTATCTTTAGCCGCATTAAACTTGTGAGCTCTTAGGCTGTGTATGGTTTGAAAGAAAAGGTAGGAGAACCTATACAAATGTTCAATAACTCATTTACCAAAAAAAAATGTTCAATAACTCCAAGTCAAATTAACAAGAATAATATTCAAAATTATTATTTTTAAAAATCAATAAAATAAATAATTTATCAAACTCACATATATAAATGATTTTTAATTTTAATATATTTATACAAATAAAAATATTATTAATAGAATAATTATTTTATAAATTATTAATTAATATTTCAATTTGCATTAAATAAAAATGTATTTATTATTACAAAGATAAAATATTGTTTACAAAATATTTGAGAATATAATATAAACTGAATCTATCAAATCCACTAAAATACATTTAAATAATTTTTTTTTTATTTTAAAAAATTCATAAAAATAAAAATATTAATGATGAATAATTATTTTTGTAATTAAAATTTATGAATTTTCATATGATATGAATCTTCAAATTTTCATTTACATTTTATATAAACATATTTATTGTTAACAAAAGTGAAAATATTATTTATTGAACATTTGCAAATTTATTTTTTGTTGCTTTTTTTTGTTAATGTTAAAATTTGAAATAGTAAAATAAATAATTGATATAATAATCCAAATATATTGTTTGCATAATTTTTGCGCCTTGGATTTTAATAAAAATAAAAATCAATGCATTATCAATAAATTTATATAATATCTATGCTTCTCGTTATATCAATAATAATATATTTCTTCAGATATACCATTAAAATATACAATTCCTATGTATTTATATGCTATTTATAGTTATTTTGACATTAAAATTGAAGTTATTAATATAATTATTGAATTTATATGCATTTCCTTCGCGTATCCAAACATTTTCATATTTTTCGTTAGTATCCAAGTGTTTTCCAAGCATATCCATATCCGTATCCAAGTTGTCCAATACGATACCCAACACCGATACTTTAATCCTTGATTGATGTAAAACTCTATTCCCAGTTCAAATTTGTTGCATTTGAATAGAGTGGAATTTTACATCGAGAATCATGTTTTTCAAAATTCAAGGGATCAGAAATTTTAAACTGTCTGTGAAGCTCCATTGATGCAAAAGTCCATCAGTTTTACACTGCAAACAAATACAGCCTTTAATAATAATAATAATAATAATAATAATAATAATAATCATCATCTTTGCTTTCTATTGCCAACCAATGGGGCAGATCTCTTAAACTTAAAGGTTTTGTGATAAACTGTTCACTAACCAATGAGAATTCGTCATAATTCATGGGGATGGTTTTGATAGTCAGCTCTAAAAAGTGAGAGTGGATTGTTATGCAGCAGCTCTCACTTTTTGAGCCTGACCAATCAAAACCACTCCATCAATTTTTAATGAATTCCCATTGGTTAGTGTTGAACTTAGCACAAAACTTTGATTTTAAGAAGATCAAAATTCACCAACCCAACTTTTTTTTTTTTTTCTAGTTTTGAACCCTAAATTTTATTCCAGGTGGAGGAGAGACCACCTTAAAATTTACTAATTCAAACTCATAAACAAGTGAATTAAGAATAGTGGAGGACATAAACGGCCTTGCTTACAAAAAATCTCCCTCCCTGGACATTCAAGCTTGCCAAACATAATTTAAGAAAATGAATTAGTTATTCAATCCTCTTTCACTTGTTACATTCTATTGGAGGCAAGTATGAAGGGCCTTAGGCATCCAAGTTTTTAATATTTGAGCATCGGGCAAAGAGAACTCTAACCCTCTATCTTAGCTTTCGTTTCAGTTGGCTTGTTCAGTTGTTCGCGCTTCGCAGTTGCTTTTGTGCTTCTATTACAAGCAGATAATCAAAGTCGTCAACAATGGCTCTGTTTTTCTTGTGTTACTGATTGTAACAATTATTCGAAATTTTGCTTGATGCAAATGTTGCACTTTTTGCCTCATTTATACTCATATTGGCAGTGGACATTTTCATCCCAAAATTTAATGTGAAATTTGCACTATTTTTCTCCTAAATTAATTTGTTTTATGAACAATACGGAGTAATTTCATGCTCTTATTCTGAAAAATAAGCTGGTTTCTTGCACTCCAAGTGAAGTATTATTCAAAAGCTCACCACACAAGAGGAGTCAAAACGTACAGCTGAGAAACAAAGCTACTAAAACTTTATTTGGCATTCCTTATTTTCTCTTTTACAGTTAAAAGTTCAGTGTTTATAAGAATATTTTAACAGGAGATTAGTCCTTGAAATAAGGAATGCCAAATGCAGCCTAAGACCGTAAACAATTTCACAATTTCAATAGTTACGAAAATATTAATTCAATTCGTCAAACTATGTATGTAAGTGGTGGAGAATTTAAGGATGATATACACCATCAGAGTGGTCCATCCATTCTATTATTCAAATGTTTTTGATATTCTTGTCTTTTTCCATGTCGCTTTCCTGCACATGGAAATTAACAAGATGAACATGCACGGAAGATGGTAAACCCCTTCAATTTAATATTTAAAAGTTTTCAGAAAATAAGAGGGTGTTCTTTTTTTTTTTTTTGGATTTTGAGAGAGGGGAAAGTTGGTTAATGGGATTTTGATTCTCATTGACCAAAAATCCATGTTCTTTTTTTTAGATTTATGTGATGAGTAGGAAAATTTTATTTTCCTTCCTAGGTGGGTAAATATACAACTTTTCCACCTAGTGAGAAAGTTGTCAACACTTGAATGGGACAAAAATACCCCTTTTAATAATTGATTTTTATGGCTAAAATGGTCATTACCTTATTTATATGGAAAATGAAAGAACATGAATAAATGCACTTACCCAGATAAGTTTTTCCTACAAAACACTTACCCAGATAAATACATTTACCATGAAGTAAGTAACTTACCAAAAAACGAGCGGGGCCTAAGAAACATTTACAATAAAAAGTAAAATTTTGTACTTTATAATTTTTTTTTTCAATCAAATGGACATCAAATTCAAAGCTTCAATTATGTTACATACATAGAAGTAGTCTGAGATCTATTCGGGCCAACTTCATTCTGATTTCTGAAGGTGATATCCTCCTAACAATAAATGGTTGCACTTGATTAAAATGTGTTTCAACTACAAGAACAATAACAAATCAAAAACTAACACGAGAAAACAAACTTCAACATAGAAAACTACAAAATTAGGGTCTGTTTGGTTTGAAGGAATAGGGGTCTGGAATTGGAATCAGAATGGGCTATTCCGATTCCAACTGTTTGGTTGGGTGGAATCGGAATCCCATTCCCGTTTCTGTTGGAATGACATTCCCTGTCCCTCCCTTGGGAATGAAATCCCATTCCTACTGATTTTAATTCATATTCCCATTCTTGTCTAAACCAAATAGACTATGGGAATGGACCATTTTGATTCCAATTCAAAGGATTTTGATTCCGATTCCGATTACGAACCAAACGGACCCTTAGACAAACTAGCCAAGAGAAGACACCTAACCAGACTCCACAAAAGACTTATCGATCAATATAGACTAGGGTTAAATAGGTGGCCAACCACTCAGGGAAGATGACAAACAAAAACCAGAGTCGATCACCAACCCTTTCTTAATTAGGTGTTGGATGTACTTGATTATTAAATTAAGGCCATATTTGGGAGTATTTATGTTAAAAATAAGTGTTTATTGAATAAGTGCTTAAAAACAAGTGCTTATTTGAATAAACACTTATTTTCAATTGGCACCCAACTTTTTTAACTGTTTACTTTAAAAAATAAGCTCTTATCTTATATCGGGCATTTGGTGGTCTTTTTTTCCAATAAGCACTTAAATAAGAAATTGTGACTCTTTTGTCCTTTATTTTCCTTCAGATTTTCAAAATATCGAATGCAAAGTGAATGAATAAAAGTACTTTGATAGAAGTACTTTTATAAAGGTACTTTTAAAAAAAAGTGTTTTGATAAAAGTACTTCCATAATAAAAATACTTTCATAAGTGCTTTCGTAAAAGTGATTTTATAAAAGTGCTTTCATAAAAGTACTTTTCTAGAAGTGCTTTCATAAAAGTGCTTTCATAAAAATACTTATATAGAAGGGGTTTCATAAAAGTGCTTTCATAAAAGTATTTTCATAAAGTGCTTTTGTAAAATTACTTTTGTAAAATGGTATAATTGGTATTCTAAAAATTTACTGGGGACAATTATGGGAGAAAAGAATTGAATAAGTGCTTATCGAATGAGCACTTAAAAAAAGTGGGAAATTTGGGCTTAAAAAATAAGCCCTTATTTCTAAAATAAGCATTTATTTCAGGCTTATTTCCCAAACACCAATAAGTATTCAATGGTGTGGTCTCCGCCCAAATAAGCACTTATTTTTAAGCACTCCTAAACATGGCCTAAAATTGAAATATACTTGATTATAAGCCATTTGCATTGATAAAGATATCATATACTACTCATTTAAAATTTAAAATATTTATAAATCAGTCTATTTTAAAATGAATTAGACTACATATAAATTAAAATAAACAAATGACTGTAAGTCTTTTGAAACCTAAGACAGAATACAAAATAAAATTTTCTAACCCATAAGATATCCTTAGGTTGAGCCTGGTTGATGAATTCAGGCTTGACCTGGGTTGGGCCCCAAAAAATTTGTGACTGGTCAACAGGTATCATAAATGTGATAGCCAGATCAGGTGGTATTTATCAAAATTCAAAGGTGGGTTTTGATTGGTTAAAGCTCTTCTGTACCTTATCTTTTCATTTTCCTTTTTTTTTTCAAATCAAACACAACCTTGTCATTAAATTGCACCCATAATAACACACACCAAATCCACGTCTACCAAACAATGAGCCATAGAATCTCTCCCTTCGAGTCTGAATCACCTACCAACAAAACACATTCTAACATTCTACCAACATAATCTAACACCACACATCTCATACATGACGAGTCTAACTTTTATGATAGGTCTCAATATTATGGTAAGACACGTGGTGTTAGATTAAGTTGGTAGAGGGTTGGAACGTGTTTTGTTGGCAGAAGATCTCAACTCACTCCCTCCACTTCTCCAAGTCCCACCCTATTGCCATGTTCACCTTTGATTTTTTGGGTAAAATACAAAAACTTCCCTTGAAGTTTCTAATAATCATAAAAACCTCCCTTATAGTTTTATTTTAGCAAATACCTCCCCTGAACTTTTGAGAAACTCAATAAAAATTATTTTATATAGAAATACCCATTCTATCCTTTTATAAATTATTTTATATAGAAAATTACTGAAATAACCCATTTTAATTCAAACAAAACCTCTTTTAATGATCATCATAGTGATTTTACATACAAAATTACTGAAATATGTATTTTTGTTGAGTTAAAATGGGATTATTTCAGTAATTTTGTATGTAAAATAATTTATAAAAGAGTAGAATGTGTATTTGGAAAAAAAATTGGTGCATCAGAAGGGACAGAAGGGACAGAAGGGAGGTTTTTGTCGATTTTCTGAAAAATTCAGGAGGTATTTGTTAAAATGAAATTATAGGAGAAGTATTTACGATTGTCATAAACTTTAGGGGAGGTTTTTATATTTTACCCTTTTTTTGGTGAGAGGTTTTAATTGATTTATTTCTTCTTTCTTACCTGACATGATACCTGTTAGGCTGTTACACTATCAAATCCCACCTCTGAAGATTCTATTTTAAAGAACACCGTTTAAATATGTAGAAACGAATTGCTCACCCATCATAATATACGTTGATTTGTCGGACCCCCACATATGTATCGAGTTATTTTAATTAGAGCTGTTCACAAATAAATTCAAATCGACTAAATCAATCAAATTGACCAACCTGGCCCGACTTAACCTTATTTAAAGCTGAAATATTTATTTCAAAAATGTATATATTTAAATCAAAACCGACCCAAACCGATCATCAACCTAAACCGATCAAATCGATTTTATTTAATAGAGGGTCGATTTAATTTTAAGATAATCAGAGCAGGTAGGATCTGTTGAAAAAAAAAACTAGTAAACCGATCCAATCCAACCAGTTAACAGCCCTAACTTTTGCCGCTCGCTAAAATATCCCTAATCGCTATCGAGTTCAAGCATTCCTTCATCTTTAAAATTTTCCAACGAAAATAACGGCTATTGGTCGTAAGCTCATAACCAAGAAATCCGGAGTGCTTGAAGACAAGTTCAAAGTATTTAGGGCCCTTCCCTTAGACCACGGAATCATGGACCATACCTCTCTTCCTCTCTGCGCTTCCTCCCGCCACCGCCACCGCCACCGCCACCGCCTCCTCCTCTCCTCATCGTCGGGCTATATCCTTCGTCCAGGGACGAAAGGAGAGGAGGGGGAGAAGATGGGTTCCCAAAATCAAACAGACCACTTTAAATTGGATTTTACGCCTTTACAAGGCATGGTGTGTGAACCAGGAGATCCAAGAATCCACTCCAAAGGGATTTGGGGCGGACAAAATCCTCTGAATTACACGTTACCCACCTTGATTGTTCAGGTCTTCCTGCTTGTCGTGGTCAGCCGTGTAGTCCACTTTCTCCTCAGCCCTCTCAGACAACCCAAATTCATCGCCAGCATGATCGTAAGTAAGCTTTTCCGACATCCTCATCCATCGATTACACGATTTCCACCCTCCTTTTCTAAATTAAAATAAATAAATTCATTGTAATATAATATGAAATCTCATGAAACAAACAATAATAGCTTTTTTTTTTTTGTTGGCATTTATGTGATGATCATGATCCTGCTCCAAAAGGGTGGTATAATGTTGGGACCCACCTTCTTAGGGCGCAACCAGAGGCTTAGGAATGTGGTGTTTCCTGAGAGGGAAGGAGTTGTTTTGAATACAATATCAGAGGTAAGTATGATGTACATGTTCTTCTTGATTGGTGTGAAAATGGACTCGAATTTAATATTGAAACCTAGTAGAAGGGCATTGAAGATTGGTTTGTCATGCTTGTTACTTCCTTTCATGTTGGTTTCTACCGCCGCCGTCTTCCTAGAGGAATTTCTCCCAATACCCAACGATGCATCGTTTCTGGTGTTTTTTTCTCTAACTCTGTCCATCAGTGCCTTCCCTGCTACTGCTCACGCAATGGACGAACTCAATCTCCTCACCTCCGAATTGGGCAAGCTTGCAATGTCCTGTGCAATGGTGAACGACATGATCGGATGGGTCTTCATAACAATTGTTACAGTTATTGGCCAGAGAAACTTGACAGACTCATTTGGAGTAATCCTGTCTTTGTCTGCATTTATCATCTGTGCAACCCACGTTCTACGGCCGTGCATAATGTGGATTATCAAGAGAATTCGTATCGGAGGAGAAGTGGAGCAATCTTACATTGTGATTATACTAGTCGGAGCGGTGGCTACGGGATTCGTCTCCGACCTTATAGGTTTGTCTCCTGTCACTGGGGCTCTTGTCCTAGGGATAGTTATACCGGAGGGCTCATCACTGGGGATAACCCTCGTCCAAAAGGCTGAAACCATAATCACAGAGATTCTTCTTCCCTTCTTCTTCCTTCGTTGTGGCTTGTACACAGACCTGTTCAAGATACGAAACCACACCACTTTTGCCTGCCTGCAATTCATCATGTTGCTTGCACATGTAGGGAAGGTGGTGGGTACGATGATTTCTTGCAAACTCAACACTCAGCATTCCTTCTCCCTCGCTCTTATCATGAATATCAAGGGCCTCATCAACATAACTGTGTTCATACAGTGGAGAACAAGAAAGGTGATACTCAAATTTCTTTAATACAATTTGGTTATTCTCAATTTAACTATAATTAGCTACTGATTCATCATTCATGGATTAATTTAATTTCATGCACTGTGTACGCAGCTCATTGATGACGAATGTCTGACCATATTGGTACTGTCCTCCCTCTTGGTCACAGCCCTAATAATGCCCGTGCTGACAACCCTCTACAAGCCTCCTAGGTATTTTGGGATAGACACAGCGGGAGCAATCCAAACTGCACGAACCAACCATGAGCTTCGAATCGTTGCCTGCATCACCGACGAGAAAAGCGTCAATGCCATCATCTCCGTCATTGAAGCTTTCCATCCAACCCAAAACAGCCCAATATATGCCTATGTGCTCCACCTGGTCGAGCTGGTTGGCCGATCTCTTCCTGTGGTAGCCGACCCCAGCACCATTGACAACTGGGACACCTGTAAACCCACCACCTCTGATCAAATCGTGCGTGCCTTTAACAAGTACTCCGTCTGCTCAAATGGGACTGTCAACGTTCAGCCTCTCACCGTGATCACACCCTGTAAAACCGTGCACGAGGATATTTGTTGGCTAGCTCATGCCAATAGAGCAACTCTAATTCTCTTGCCTTTCTACAAGAACGACCTCAGAATGAGTGGTGCTGCCATATCTAGCCTTACCCACAACGTACTGGCCGGAGCACACTGCTCGGTGGGGCTCCTTGTCGATCACAGTAGTTACAGAAGTTACTCCCGTCCCGCTGGGCGTGGACACTACTCTTACAACGTGCTTCTCATATTCTTGGGCGGAGCGGATGACCGTGAGACACTAGCGTTGTGCAGTCGAATGTCCACACACCCGGGGTTGAGTGTCACCATTTTAAGGTTTCTACTTTCGAACGACAAGGAGAATGAGAGGGATAGACACCTCGACGACCCACTTCTGTACGAATTTAAACTTAAGAACATCAACAATGAAGTTTCCCAGATCCGTGAGGAGGTTGTGGATGATATGGAGCAAGCTTTTAGTTTAATTCGATCTCTAAAGAGTGACTACCAACTTATGATGGTGGGGAGACGACATGGGACGTGCAAGGCGCACAATGGAGCTATGGCAGATTGGACTGAGAATACAGAGCTTGGGGTGCTCGGCGACACACTTGCGACAACAGAGTTTTCAGATAGTGAGTTCTCTGTATTGGTTGTCCAAGCAGCGCTGTGATTCAGTTAGATGGGAATCTGGTCGAAAGAAAATCAAATCAGGTAGGTCTTAATGAGTTCTCTGTATTTAACTTTCTGCCCATAGATTGATCAAAGTGTGTGTTCTAGATTTGGATAGATGGTATTTAGATGAATTCATAAATAGAGAGAGAACAGGTATCCTGACGAAAAGGGGAGGAACAATATTTCAGCAAGAAAAACGGAAATTAAAATGGAAATTGATGTAACCGTTTCTGGTCACGTACCAATTTTTTGTGATGTATAAATTTTTTTTGGCTAAGTACCTTGTTATTTGACATGGTGGTGACGTGCCTTGGTGATGAGCTACTTGGTGGCGAACTCCTTGGTGGAGAACTGCCTGGTGGCGAACTCCCTGGTGGAGAGCTACTTGGTGACGAGCTACTTGGTGGTGAACTGCCTGGTGGCGAGCTCCCTGGTGGAGAGCTACTTGGTGGCGAACTCCCTGGTGGAGAACTGCCTGGTGGCGAGCTCCTTGATGGAGAGCTACTTGGTGGCGAACTCCCTGGTGGAGAACTGCTTGGTGGCGATCTCCCTGGTGGCGAACTCCCTGGTGGCGAACTACCTGGTGGTGAGCTCCCTGGTGGCGAACTGCCTGGTGGCGAGCTCCCTGGTGGAGAGCTACTTGGTGGCGAACTCCCTGGGGGAGAACTGCCTGGTGGACTCGTCGTTTGACCTACTCCTAGGTGGCCTACAACTTAGAGGATGGTGGAGCTCCCTGGTGCAGCGCAACCCGACTGCCCTCTGGATGAGGTGATTTCCTCTCCTTTGTAGGCGGCGGGAGCTGAGGGACCTGCGAGAACTGAATCAGAGGACCCGGAGGTATTTTCCCGGCGGAGACTCTCCAATGCCTAAGTTAGCATTCTGATTACAGAGAGCTTGGAGAGAAATGAGAGAGCTAGAGAGTAGGGGTTACCATCCTTTTTTCCTCTCTTTTGTCTTTGGGGGTCGGAGTCCTTATATAGTGGTGTCCTCGCGGGTTAGGTGGGTGAAAAGCCTTCAAACGGTAAGACTCGTCACATCTCGTCAGAACCGGGGTACGGTGGTGATCTCCTCGAGGTTGTTAGGCTGGCGCTTGTGTCAGGCGGCCAGGTCGGCGCCTGGGCCAGGTTGTCAAGTCGGCGCCTATGTAAGTCGGCGGGTCAGTGTCTGGGCCAGGTTGTCAGGCAGGAGATCTTCCTGCGATACTTCAAACTACTCTTCTGTACCGAGCTACCCTACAAGTGGCGAATTGCCAAGGGGAGCTATGCCGAGCTCCTTGGGCTATGCCGAGCTGCTTGTGGCGAGCTTTGCCGAGCTGCCTAGCTCCTTGGTGGCAAGCTCCTTGGAGAGCTGCCTAGCTCCTTGGCGAACTCTTTGGTGAGCTATCGAGCTCCTTGGCGAGCTCCTTGGTGAGCTACCGAGCTCGCGGGGTATGCCGTTATGGTTCATCGGTGGGCGTCTTATGGGTTGC